TTCAGCCATGGATGTGCTTGAGAGAAATGGTTTTGAACTGAATAATTGCAAATATGCCAATGCTTCACTCTTGTAGCTTAAGTTGCTTACCGGACCTCAGGTTCTCAAATCTCTGAGCAAATAGTCAAGATTTTGTTGCAGTCACACAATTCAGCAATGAAATGGAAATCTCAATCTGTGTAAAAGAGCCTGGAAGAAGTGGAAAATGCAAGACCCCAGTTTCAGCCTGTGTGTGGTAACCCAAAACACTGGTCAGAAAAAAAGAACTGCATCCCCTTGCTCAGCAAAACAAGGTTTATCAGGCCTGAATAAGAAGTATACAGAAGAAATTAAGAAGTATACAGAAGTTGTTTGTATATCACGTTGACCAGGGAGTACATGTTAATTAGAATAAAGTGACAAAATAGCAGATACAACATTCCAAAATGCTGGTAATGACAGAGAATCTGTGTCTGCAGCCTTGGGGACCTTGCTGTTATGTCATTATTTCAATTGTTTAGAAGAGCAAGAAGTGTAGAGTAAAGATGTGCGAAAACATGAAGAAATTAATTTTTTATTGGTGCTGCTGATTACTGGCTGGTTCAAATGGCGAGATTTGTTACCACAACCTGATTATTAAACTTAGTTTTATCTATGAGTTGTAAATATTCAGTCTACATGGATTTAGCCTGCTTGGTTTATATGTATTGTGCAATTAATACAGTTTTGCTTGGTCCATGTGGAGTTGAATTATGTTGCTTAACAAAATAATATACACTAGTGTATTTACATATTCATGTGTGTGTTTTATTACCATTTTTAAAAAGCAAAGTAGTCAATTTTTAGAGGACTGTACTGTAATTCCATAAGCAGTAATTTGACTAGGTATTTATATACTTAAGTTAGTTATTTGGAATAATAATTAGGAAAAAAACATAGTAAAGAAGCCTTCATAAGAGATGTTATTTGCTTTTTATTATTTAAAACTCCGTGGTAGATTTGAGACGTGTTACCTTAGGCTTTTTATATATATTTACTGCTAAAGCTGCTGTTATTTATTCCAGACTAATTTTTAGTGTTGTCCTCTGAACTGAACAGGTATAAAAATAATTCAATACTTTGCTATTCTGGAAAGGGACTAAAATTTATATATTATGCACTAGATTTCTTTTCATTTGTCCTTCTTAGGAAGGGAAACTGGGAAGAGAGAAAGGAGATAGGGAGAGTACTAAGGTGTAGGGAGGAAATCTTCTTCAACAAGCTTGAGTAAACTTACTGGCTGGGGGAACTGTGTGCCTGGTACATCTCTATTACTATTTTAGCTGTTTCTGAACTGTACCTGTGCAAACCATTGGGTATCTTTTGATACTAAAGCTGTTTGTAGGTTATGTTACTTAAGAATGTTAATGAAGTTGTAACTAGGCCCAGACTAAGCTGAGCACTGTTGCATTCAGTGAGTCCTGTGTACGATACCCAGTTGGATGAAAATACCAGTTTGTACTTCTTGTGGTTGCTGACAGAATTTTCACTATGAAAATGTTAACAAGAAGTTACTGATGCCTTGAAATATCCTTAGATGGGCATCCTGTTCTGCTTACAGCCATTATTGGTTAACACATCCTGAGCCGTTGTATGAACTGCTGCCATTTAGGCTGAGTTAGTGACCTTTAAATTATTACTGCTGAATTCTTGTGTGAATAGCAACTTCTTAAAATAACCGTGGTAGTCCACCAACTCAAAGGTGGAAAGTATGGCTGGCAAACTGAATTTATTAGTTTTTAAACTGGTTGCAGGCTGTGTCGACCGAGAAAATCTGAGATGTGTGGGCAAATGATTGATTCAGTGTGTTCACGTGCTCTTCTCACAGGTTATGATCAACTTCCAGATAGACTGAAGAAAAAAGTATAATCATGTTAATTTTGAGTCCATTATAAAGTCAAAATAGTCGTAGAAGGCAAGCATACCCTGGAAGTAGGAAGTATGTCTTAAGGCTTCTAAAGGGCTATTACAGGGTCAATAAGGACCTTTTTTGCTGCAAGGTTGTGCTTTAACTAAATGGTTTGCCTCCTAAAATAAATAAAAGGTATGCCACCCTAAATAGATCATGAATGGTTCCTTGAGACTTCGATGGAAGAATTAATTTCTTTTTCTTTATGTAGCAGTAGAGAAGCTTTGAAACGACTCACTTGGAATGCTCTTTAGGGCTTGATCTCTCTCTGATTTTATTTTTTTTAATATTTAATTGTGTTATTCCTCAAAGACTGCTGTGGCAGTGGTGAGGGGAAGAATGGGCAAAGGGTCAAGAGATATTAAACTTTAAAGGAAATTACAATTTTTGCTAATTATCATAGCAACAAAGGAGTAATGAATCCTGGCGAGGAGGCAGAGGGGTGGGAGGACGTTGGTGCGCACTCACAGCGGTATTGCTGAGCTGTGCTGTGACATTACCCAGGTCATTCTGAGAGCTCGGCTCTCCTATTTTCTAATTATGTGTTTTCAGAAAATAGTACTTAGTTAGAACAGCCTTGGGAATCTAACTAATGCTCTCTGCTTGGGTGGGCTTTTATGCATTTGCGAGTTCATTTTTGGTTTGTGTCCATGGAAGAACTTTGTTGACAGGTGGGCCATCAGAGCAGGGAATCAGCTGAACTGCCTTACATTGGCATCCTTGGAGATGGAACAGTCCTGTCAAGCCCTTGTTCTTGCCATGATGGATAGTAGCTGCTCTAATTTGTTTGGTCGCAGTCCTGTGATTTATCCCTTTATAAAGAGCAAGTGAACTCTTGGGAACAGAGGGAGACTCTTTGCCTGGAGGAGGTACTTAGGAAAGAATAAACCCAAGGGCACTTTGCTTTGTCACTTCAGCTTGCCTGCTGTTGTTGGTGCAGTTGAAGAGGCTGTAGGAGAGGAAAGGCCAAGGGGTCACAAAGGGGTCACAGGTGCTTTGGGAGGGCAGCTGGGAGCCCTCAGCTCAGGTGGACGAGAAGAGGTTTTGCTGTGCGGAGCAGGATGTACATCAGCCTTGCAGAACAGAGAGGATAGATGGAGCACTGTTTATCTCCTCTCGAAGCGTTACTCAGGTGGTGAAGATCTTCCTGAAAAGCAGTATTAACCAGGAGGAGAGGTGAATACAACTTTTTTTCTTTTGGTCCCTCTTACACGGTTTTTCAGCTCTTCAGATTAGAAAATAGTGGTTCTGTTTGTGTTTGTTAATTCCAAATCAAATGGAATTTGTTTCTTGATGAAGGCTGTGAGTCACTATGTTTTTGCAGGCAATCTCCCAGGATTTCACATCACACATAAATTACTGCCCAAGATGTAGGAGATGGTCAATTAACATGAATTCATTGCTCCTTGCTAGTGTAGCTTATCAAAGGATGCTCAGCATTAATATCAATGTGGCTTCAGTTGATCAACTGTAGTATAGACAATAATTTTAAGGTAAAGAACAAACCTGTGTACTCCAGCCTTTTTACCTTTTCCTTCAACTGGCATGAAAAACTTTTAGCTGTTGCTTAAAAATTGCAGGGATTGTTCTTCTGGATATTTTCACTTTTTTTTTTTTTGTTACATGAAAAAACAATATATAAACAAAATATGTTGTACTTTGTCTGAGTTTAATATACCATTTGATTAAGCTTGTGTGCATAATAGCATCTACATTTAAAAAGGGAGCAAAAATCTAGTAACAGCATTAGCAGTGACTTCTGTATCTCATAAGAGGTTTCTTGTCCTGATGGTAAGTCAGGGAAAGAATGCAACAAAAAATCCTTGTGTTGCATCTATGTTGTTTGTGAAAGAGTAGAAAACAGAATTTGAAGAAATGAATTCTCCAAAGGGTTAGTAGGTGCAAGGTGGTGAGTAGGAATACAAGGGGACATCTATTGTGGTAGGAAAATACTTTAAAGAATTAGAAGGACCCTAAAAAAAATATGAACTGAAGTCAAGAAGGGCTTTTACTAGTTTAATGTACACTACTGTGATATTTCTCTACTTTCTGTACAGCAGATTGCTATGCAGAGATCTCCCAGACAGTTCAATGCTTTGGGACAATAACCTGGCCTCTTTCACTCTGATTTGTTATGTTACATTAATGTTGGGAGCATGTGCAGGGCACAGGGTGCCAGCATCCATCCCATGCAGCATCTAATGCCTTAGCTTGCCTGTGGATGCGCTGAAAAATTGAGCCTTGCAGTATTGCTTGTTGATCATCAAACAAAATGCCAGCTGGAGAAGGCATTGTATTAGCTTTGGTTAGGTGTTGGTGGCTGTGGAGAAAATCAGTGTATTACCACATCAAAAGAAATGACCATAAAATAAAATACACATGGGAAGAAGACAGAGAATTATTATCCCTGTTTGTAAACCTGCCTTATCTGTCTGTGGTTAAGACTAGGCAAACAAATGGTAATGGGGACTTAAGCAGCTACACTTAAGAGTCAGGTTTCTTCTCTGTCTATATAAGCCTTTGCCACCCACATAAGTACTTAAAAAGTGACAAGTTGATAATTCATGCCTGAATTTCCTGTTTATGCTACATTTGCATCTCTTTATCCTTTTGATAAATAAAACAGTAAATCTCTCTTCAAAGTATATTAGTAAGGGCTGGCAGTGCTCAGAATTACAAAATTTAATAAAAAACATGCACTGATACTTTTATGTTGTGCTAAAAATAACATTTTTATTCTTCATAAAAAGTTATGATTAAACTTGCAGAGGCACAAAACCATCACTGAACAGGTAGATGATATTATTTGTACTTCTGGGGTTTTTTGTTAAATGTTTGGCATCCTCTAAAAAGACAACGGTGACAAACACTTTGCAGGTTGGACAGTTGTTTCATACCAAGTCTCACTGGTCTGATGTTAGCAGAAAAATTTTCTGTATCTTCTCCTTAAACATGTTTTCCAGATTTGATTGGAAATAATTTTGTGCAAAGCAGTTTGGCTAAAATATCTGTCTAAATGTTTCTAATGCTTCTTTTCTTTTTTTTCTTTTTTTTTTTTTTTAATCTGTGCTAGGATGTTTTGAATAACTTGGGTTCCTGTGAGTTGGATGAAGATGACCTAATGCTTGACTTGGAGTTCCTGGAAGAGCAACATCACCAGCGTTCTGGTAAGTCAGATAAATGCTGTCTGTCTGTAGTGAGGTAATGTTATTCTAGGAATAAAAAGCAAATATGTTCAGTACAATTACTTGGAAATAAAAAGGAGTAATTTTCTTGGAAGGAGGAGAGTGGTATTAATTTTTTAGAGTTATTTCTAAATGTGTTTGTAATTAATCAGAAAAATGCTGTTTATACGGGACTTGGACTTCATATGGTCAGTTATGAAATGGAAGTGATTTTTACAGCTACAGAATTTCAGTACCAAGGGCAGACCCATCTGTTTTTCTAAATACTTAAAATGACTGCTGCCTACCACAGGCATTTAACAAAAGAGCATTGGTGGAATAATTGTGGTCACTTTTTCTGTATGCCAGAATAATATTTTTCAAATAAAGAAGGTTTGGCTTGAAACATGAGTGTAACTTGATGGTTTCTCACTTGTTTGGTTAAAGCCTTGTTGCACTGCCTTGATTAATAGCAATAGACTATTGCTATATACTGTGTTTACTACCATTTTATAAATAGGATTATGCAAGGTAAGTTGTTGGACCTGTGAAGAGGAATTTCCTTTGCTGGGATGTGGGACATCAGGGGCCTTGTCTGTGAATAGAAGTCCTGCTAACTCTGCAGCATTTGGAAAGTCTTCAAACCTGTGTGGGACTTGTGCTTGATCCCAGGTAGAATTCTGGGTTTGTACTCTGCTGTGGTGCTCTGTTCTGACAGTGCCAAGAATTTAAGCCCAAGGAATTCTCATTTCTCTTTTACCTGCGGTTCCCTGATTCAGTTTCTCCCACATAGATGCCCATAGTGCACATTCTTGCAGACTCATGTGGAAGGGGGTTTTTTGAGACGTGTGCTGGCTGGTGTGGACCATCTTCAGTTCTGGTTTCTTCTTAGATGCAAATTTAGCAATGGTTACAGATGAACTGCTGGAACTGTGGTCCTGATATTTTCTGTGATTGTTCTGTGAAGATATCTGAATTATCTCTATGATAATTCTGTTTAACCATTGTGCTGTGCTTTTAAACCTGTTTGCATATCTGCTTATAGGATGAAACATCTGTTCTGTTTGCTTTGGTAGGGAGTGTGGAGGGTTGTAGCAGTAATATGTTCATGATCATAGTTTTCTAAATGATTGGAAGCTGGGATGCAATAAATGAACTGCACAGAAAAGGCCATTTCTAACCCATTCTGAAAAGTGCTATTAACTGTTTACAGAAAGTTGAATGGTGAGGAAAGAAATGTGGTTTCAAAAAGCTTCAGAAGCAAATATTGAGCATTTTATAAGAAATCATGGGGTTCAGACTTAATTATTCCCTGGACTGGTTGGAAAGGAATTAAGTGGCAGAATTTTCTATAAATAAACTTCCCTGATGTGTTGCACTTGGCCTGACCTTTGTTTTCCTTCTTTTTTTTTTCCACAAAGCACTGAATTAACAGTGAAATAAAAATTATGTCCAGTATATGATTACAAAGATTTTGTAGCAGCTTCTGGAGCAACTAAAATAATAATGACTGAGTGACATACTTGATAGAGAAGTAATTAAGATGGAGATGTGATATGACACGTAATCTTCCTGCTCTTGGCTCATTATCCAGAGCAAATGAGATGCTTTTAAAACAGAGATTTACATTGTCATCTGAAGAATGGTCTTCTGAATGACCATTTCTATCCTGAGCAATAAAACAGACACACACAATGCAGTATGCACATTTAACATAACACAAATGTGTTTATTTTAGTAATATTTACTCTTTGCTTTTATTTTTTTGGTGGTAAACCTAGCTGCAAAAAATTTAGGATTTCTCTAGCTGTCACTGTTTTTTTAAAGTCAATCACTTGGAAGATAGCTTTGGAAGGGTAGAGACACAGTATGTTGACTAAATTCTACCAAAAAAAGCTGATATCTTTATTTTGCTTGAGGATCTGGCCCAAAATGGTTCATGTGGTTACAAGTCATCACCTTAATTTGTATTAAGATATTGAGGCAATATGCTTAATTTTTAGTGACAGCATTTGAATACCACTGAAGTGCATAAAAGCCTTGAACTAGATAATGACATTTAAACACTTTTAACAAATTCCTTTTCTGATTCCTTTGTGAAGTTGTGGCCAACTTCCAGGATTTAAGAAATTTCAACAAAAATTCTTTTCAGTAATTCCAAGGCAATCTGTTCTTTGTTTACACTTCTGGGTTTGCCTTTTTTTTTTTTCCAAGAGGCATCTCTATTCATACCTAAATAGAATTCTTCTAAACTTTTTCAATTACATTACATTATCAAATATTATCAAATGTTTTTGGTGCAATTTTTTCTACAGGCACCAGAATTCAGAAGTGATCATGTTAAAGACATACAGTTAATTTAATGCAGAGCTTTACACTTTCATAAATCAATCAGATTGAAATTGATCATATTTCTGGGCATGCACATATAAGCTCTTTCAGGTAATTGGGAGGTAATGTATGTTTTTTAAAAGATTTTTAATTCTGACTGCTTCAGAAACAAGAAGACTGCAGATTGCACGTGGAGGATGAGCCAGTACTGTTACTGTGGAACATACTATTCTAATGGAATTTCAATTAAACCAAAGGACTGTTAAATTCTTCCTGGCCTGAAAAGTAGATGATTTTCTGTAATTTTTGCCAGTTGCAGGTTTGTTGAGCATTTTGTGAAGGCTTCTTTAAAACTATGAGCTTGCAAGTTTACCTATGGCTTGCTTCAGTAAAATTCAGTCAGGACATGTGCAGGTGTACAGATTTGTGAGCCTCCTTTAGTTAGAGGTTAGATGGGTGTGCTGTCTCTTCTATAGAAGATTCAGCCCTATATTTTGTCAGCTTTACATACTTAATCCATTTTATTGCAGTATTCGTTTGCCCTCCTAACAAGGTCCTCATATAATACTTGCAGGGGATCTGTGTACCTGACATTCACACGTGTGTCATACTGAAGTCAGCTGAGGGTTAATGCATTTGTTCTTAGTCTGTTATCAAAATAAAGGTGTTCATGAGTATAAAAATATTGCAGAAAATGCTGTTTTTTGAATGGAAACATGAACATTATGCTCTTCTGGAAGTCAAAGGTATTAGCAGTACTGTGACTGTTTGTAGTACAGTAAAAATCCTGTTCATGTTCTGTGAACTGATGCTGATTGCAGCATTTATTTGGTTAAAGCCATCAGCTGTATTGCCATTCACCTGTGCTCCATTTGGCTTCTGGTAAACAATTCTGTTGGGAATTACTATGGGGAGACATGTTCCAAGAGAAGCTCTGTTCAGTATTTTAACAAATAGATTGCAATATGAAGAGGTATAATTGGAAAATTATTCAGTTCTTTCTTCATTTATTACAGAGGGATAACTAAGGAATAACTAGGATTAACTATTCTTTAAAAGGCTATGAAAATTTCTAATGACAAATTACATGAATACAAGGGCTAACATCACATTTCTAACGAATATCAAAAATTACGCCTTGGTGAGGAGGCTGTATACATCAAGCTGAGTAATTTAGACATAACAATTCTGAAGGGTACTGCCCCAGTTAATAAACACTGTTGATGAACTGATTAATGACAAATTGAGAAAATCTCTTAAATGCCACTAGGAGTTCCAGTTTTTTAGACATTTGTTAGTTAAGACATGATTTACAACACTTTCTGCTTTTAGCTGCTCTAGTTTGAAGAACAGTATTTGTTAGGTTGAGGATATGTCTCTGACTTTGTACTGAAGCTTACAATATAATACTAATTTTACAAAATAATTGTATTGTATTGATCTAGCATTGTTTTAGTGACCATTTATGAATAGAAAATAAGATTATATTGGAAAGATTTCTGGGAGAATTCTCTATTAAGGAGCTTTCAAGAGGAGCTACAAGCTATTTGGTAGGAAAGGAGATGTTCCAGAAAGTGGTATGCTGTGTTAATTAAAATATAGAAATAGAAAGGAGAAAGAGACAAAGATCTGTTACCTCTTTTGTTGTTTATGGTAGTTTTTATTTCTTTATTTATTACTCAAACTCATTTTTCACTTGTGCTCTTGTTCTGTCCCCTCAGCTTTTCCCTAATGAGCTGGTTGCCCTCCAGCAGCATCCTCATGAAATGAAGTTCCTGCAAAAAGGTGCTATAAATCCTTTTGAGTACTAGTGAATTAGCAAATTAAAAAATATCCCTAACTTTTTCTCTAACCATACAACAGAAGCTAAGGAGACACCTGCAAACCTCAGGCAGATGCTTCTACTTTGGACATAAATGTCTGTGCTTTGCTGGTCTTAGCACAGCTTTAGAAGTCTGGAATTCCCTCACTTGAGACTTTCTGTGAGTTTACTGCTTTAATTTACTACTTTTGCTTCTGTTTTAAAGGCTGTATTGTTGAGACGAAGAATGTAAGACAAAGACATTTTATTATCCCGCCTAACACAATTGCTTTGAAATTTAATAAAATAATATTTATACTGTACTTGGTGAGTGCAGAGAACTACTGCATACAAATTCAAAATATTAATCAATGTGATTTGCTTAGAGTTTTGCATACTGTTCTTAAGATGGAATGCTTAAAATGAAGCATAATATGACATAGATGATGAGTCTTGAGGGTGTCTTTTTATTAATCTCAGTAAATTAGACTTTTAAAATATGCTGCAGCTTTGATTTCCGGTTGTAAAATAATGAAGTCAGTGGTTTCTATAGTGGGAAATCATTGCAGGTTTATAGAAAGTGACAGCATTAATTTAACTTCATTCATTTTCCTTTTCCCTCATGAAACACGATGTATTTGATTCCAAGTATTGATTAGTCAAATGAATGAGGAAGACCTTTATATTCAGTGATAGAAGCAGTGGGGAATTTATTCAAGTAATGCTCGTTAATGTGCATGAGTTCTGTGCTGGTGTTGTGCTGTAGCCTATTGAAAACTAAGTGGTTTTTTGTGGTTGGTGTTTCATTAAATCAGGACTGCAGTAAACAGTGGCCTTTTCTGAAAATTCACGACAGCACAGCTATCCAGGG